TATACTTTTGAGTCCCTGAGCATCAATACATCTGCTATAGTTAATTTAAAATTAAGCAATGGAATGTAAACATCTTCACCCTTCTGTTTGATGACTCTCCGCCATAATAGCCGACTAATCACGCAACACAGATAAATGAAATGGATGAACAGGCGGTGGTACCATTTTTTACTGCGGATTTTGGTCCTATAGAATCCTAACATCGCATCTAGTAATTCGACACCGCCCATCTATTTGTTATAAATGGTTACTGCTTGTTGTTGTGTTGTTGTGCAAGGAACATCATCTCTACCACTTATGTTTTTTTTTTTGGAATACCTTTTCACATCTCCCATTGGCTCCTTGCCTACGTAGGATGAACACAAACTGACTGCTTTATTATCGACCCAATTGGTTACTGATAGCTTAACGTCATCAACAGCAACACTTTTTTTCGGAGCAATAACCTCGTTCTTTCTTTTCTAAAGCTTTTTTAGTTATATTTGGAGCTCTTCTCAGTTGTATTGTGCCTAATGGCAGAATACCTCTTTTGTACAAGTTTGCCATTAGCTGCAAACTTGTGTACCAGTTATCGACAAAAATCTTGTGGTTCAAATTGACTGAAATAGTCTCCAATAGTCTTTGAACCACATTTCCTGGCACTCCAAGATGGGGACAGTTTTCAGGCGGATCAGGTTATTTTCCTCCAAATAATTCAAAGTCCGCTTAGTACGTAATTCAAATAACCCCACTTATGTGGTTTCTACGCATTGTACTGTGTGATTCCTGAAGTTCGAGCCTTAGTAGGGACCATCTGTTCGTCGATTGACAAAAATTCCTCTTTCAGCACTTTTAGCAGTCTTTCGCGTAGGATTTTCATAAGTGGGCGTGTTTTCTGAAGCCGGTCAAACTGCGGTTCATTTGGTTTTAGTCCTTTTATTTTGTCGAAAAAATGCAGAAATCTTTTCATCATCATCATCATTACAGCCCTTCACAAGTCCACTGCTGAACATAGGCCTCCCCCAAAGAATGCCACAAAGCACGGTCCTGAGCCACCTGCATCCATCGACTTCCTGCATGTCTTACCAGGTCGTCACTCCTTTTAATCTTTTAATCTCTTCGAATTTATTGCACGTCATAACATTTGCAACTTTTTCAATATAATATGTAGGTCACTGAATAAGTTTTGAGATGCTCGAAATTTAAAAATTAAACGCACCCGTGTTATATGTTTCTAAAAAGCAAATTTATTTAAAAATAGAACTCCATAACCCAATGAGAGTCCACAACTTTTTTTGCCACCAGGGCGGCGCCACTTAAAAGTGAGGTATAATATTTGACAGATTTCATAGCGGGGAAGTTAATTAATTTGTTCGGAAAATGTAAGGGTTAATGTTTTTTTCTGTACTATTAACTATATTTTATATTAATAAGATTAAAAATAAATAAACCAAATCACAGATATTCATAAAAGTAGAATAATAAAAAAAAAGTTTTAAATGTGTAAAAAGTTAAAGACCAAACCAGGCCATTGTTTTGTGTATTAATATAATACTCTAGAAACTGATAAACTTTTATTTAAAACTAACTTCTCAATTAAATGACATTGTGTGACAAAAAACTTTCCTCAGTGTCAACTAGCGACATCTGGTGAGCAGAAAATTATTGGCCCTCATTGCTCAATATTAAAAAATACAAAGTTCTATTAATTTTCCTGCAACGCTTCACGTGCTTTTCATTTAAAACGATGGATCTCAACCGTGAACATATGCGCGCTATGATATATTATAATTTTATATTTGGTTTAACTAAACAATTAAGTTTACAACGGTTACAATCAGCATTAGGGGTCTCAGCTCCATCACGCGGAACAACTTTTAGGTGGTTTGCTGAATTCAAAAGGGGTAAAATTAATCTTAAAGATGAACCGGGGCCCCGCAAACAGCAGTAACGGCAGAAATGTTGGTGCGAGAAGACCCACTTATCACATATACGGATATCAAACAGATTGTAGGCATTAGTTCGGGGAACATTCATACCACCCTACAGGAACATCTTGGAGTGAGGAGGCTTTGTTGTCGATGGATCCCTCGTTTGCTCTCCGAAAGCGAAAAACAGACTCGCGTGGATTGGTGCCATGAAATGCATGTACGTTTTGAAAACGGGACATCTAGGCGTGTTCATTGAAATCTAGGTACCAAATAGAGGACATCACTTGGATCCTAAAAAACTTTAAAATTAAATATATCTGACAGTGCACATGGCATCTATTTTTTTTTTCGAACCAGTGGTAAAGTCAAAAATGTCTTTCAATAAGAATTAGACATGTGATCTATATTGAATAAAAAATATTCTATTCTATTCATTACTTTGTATTTGCAAATTACAATTCGTTCAGATCGCGCCCCAACTGCTATCTCACTCCCCATTCGCGTGCTGAGTGCTGATTAGTTAGACTTCGATCCGACGACGCACATCGACGGCACGATGAAAACGGTATACAATCATTGAATCGATTGGACTCGTTCAATTGTCAAACCGATTTGAACCGAGTTGACACATCGCTATTCGCTACTCAGTACTCACTTACTGTTAGGGATGGACAAGGAAAAAAATATATCTATATACATTGAATCGATATTTTTAAACAGTATTGATATATTATATCGCATGATAAATATCGATATATCGTCATCATTTGCGTGATGTAAAGATAAGTTCCAAAATTTTATATTACTGATGGTTGGTAGACGAAAAAAAAACGACAACCAACCACACATGAATAGTTTTGTATCTCCTTTTGTTGTTACAAGTTTTATCATTAATACAACATTTTAAAATATATCGAAATTGATACGAATTCGATACTCTAAAATAAATATCGATATATCATGATTTAAAATATCGATGATATATATCAATATTTTTATTAAAAAATATTTTTGCCCAAGCCTACTCACTGTCACTTGCTGTCACTCAATATATATATACAGCTTTAATCTATGGTCCAGTGTTGCCAACCGTACGATTTAAATCGTATTCATACGATCTTTTTGGCCCTAGTACGATGTACGATCATGTATTCGAAATCGTACGCAAAATATACGATCTTTTCAAATCTTATAATCTTTATAACAAAATAAAAATGATAATTGATTAAGTTCATTTTATCGATATGTAAAATCAATAATTTCAAAATTGAATAAGCTCTAAACTTCTTTGTATTTTTTATGAACGCATCCAATCCAATAATTTTTTAAATCTATTCCTCGCGCAGTTTAACCGCCTTTCTTCGCCTTTGTTTTACGTCATTCTATTCGTTCTAATCCAAATAAGGCTTAGCTTTCCATTGACGTCAGTGGAGTTTGGTGTTGATACGTATTTTTACAGAAAGATTACACTATTATAAGCACACACACAAAGTCTCGATATACGGAAACGCGTAATTTTTGAGAAAAGAATAATTGAAAATCAATTATTCTTGCAATGTTTATGTCTAATCTGCTAATAAACTGGCGCCATTTTGTAATGTCATTGTCGACGTCAATAGGGATGTCGATTCTTTCCCAAAAAGTTCGATTTTTAAATCGATTCAAATCGTAAGCTGATGTATCGGTTCACAAAAAATCGATTTCTAAAATATCTATATTTTTTAAATGTTTCTATTTATAATGTAAATATAAACCCATTTTATAAAAAACAAGAAAGATACCATGATAAAAGATCTCTTATTGAAATTTGTTTTATTTAACAGTACCTATTAGGGCAGATAACAAATAAAATAGGTTAGGTTCAACTTATGTCAAAGAACCGAATTGATTGACCCCGACTCCACCTGGTACGAGTCTGTCCTACCCCTAGAGTGGTTTTATAGAGCCGGAGGCGCGTAGGGGGAGCAGCCTCCGCCTGCTGTAACAAATCGTAGACATCGGACGAGCCGGAGCGGCTGAGGCTGGCCGCCGAAGGCGATCAACAAGCCGAAGCTGCGGAGGCGAGGATGGATTTATATTTACATTATAAATGCAAACATGAAAAAAATATAGATATTTTAGAAATCGATTTTTTGGGAATCGATATATCAGCTTACAATTCGAATCTATTTAAAAAATCGATCTTTTTCGGAATGAATCGATATCCCTATTGACGTCGACAATGACATTACAAAATGGCGCCAGTTTATTAGCAGATTAGACAAACATTGCAAGAATAATTGATTTTCAATTATTCTTTTCTCAAAAATTACGCGTTTCCGTATATTGAGACTTTGTGTGTGTGCTTATAATAGTGTAATCTTTCTGTAAAAATACGTATCAACACCAAACTCCACTGACGTCAATGGAAAGTCGTACCCCAAATAATATTACATTACGCAGATAATCATATCATATATTACATATTTATGTAATAGACGGCAGAGTGGACACATATAGAACGGCAAGTTTAGTATCAGATTCTTAAATGTTATACGATTATACCCTAAATGTAAAATTTTGCTTTGTTAATAAATTAATATTATTTTTGTATTTTTTTACCATTGTTTTATTGAAATATTGATGCGTACTATCTTTTTTTTGAGTTCTTAGCAAAATACGATCTTTTCCAGTTTATGATACGATCTCCTAAAAAATAAAGTTGGCAACCCTGCTATGGTCGTTGCTGTCACTCATTTGTCAGTAGTGTGGGCATTCATTATTATCATTTTTTAGTTTTTTACTATAAAAATTGCGATTTCATAATTCAGTTTCAAACTTTAGCTTATTATTTTTCTTAATCTTATATCATGCTTAATTGGCGTTTGGTTTATAGCTAAATATGATATTAATTTCATATGGTTTTCGTTTTGTAAGAACACAAGGTTTACATTGTTTAGTATTTCGTTCTTACTTTTGGAGTTTTGGAACTCGATATCACCTAGACACTAGTAAATTATCTACTTCTTATTCGTGTAATTTGCATATTTAACCAAGTTTTTTTATTTACATGTCCAATTTCCTTTTTAGTATTATTTTGAACTATCTACAATGTTTGCTAGTTTAAAAAGTAAAATAAAAGAAGAAACTGGAAGTGATATCACTAAATTAACCAGCAGTTGGCGTACTGGAGGATTTTTAGGACGAATTTCTTTACGAGAAGATTCCGTAAGTCTGCAACTACTTAATTAATTATTTCTAACATGATTTGGTGTGTTATCTTTCCTTAATACAGGTCTTATCTTGTTACAGTTTCCATATTTACCTGATTTTATAAATAAATTGCGATTTAGACTTAGAATAATAGGTTAATGATACATAGTGATAGGAACAGCTAGTCTTACAATAAATATAACAGGACAGGGCTCTTAGTGAACAATTTTTATATATATATAAAAATATAAGTTAATCATAATTTGTGCATAAACTTTGAAAATTGTGTATTGTGATTGTCCCTGTATCCTTAAAATTTTATTTAAACCGCAACCCATGAATATTGTGTTGGGTGGATTAAGTTAAACAAATTCAGTATTACTCTCAAATGTATGCAAAAATGGCCAGTGATCAAAAATCACTCAAGAGAAAATCATTATATTTTTTTATTCAGCACATTTTTTTTTTATTAGTTTTACTGAACTGGTTTAGCTGAAGCTATCAAAGAATTAAAGTTCTGACATCAAAAGCTAATATGTGGAAATTCTTTCTTTTATTTTATTTTTGTTATTAATATAGCTTGGAATGCCCACACAAATGCATAGATATTTTTTTTAACTAAATGAGTTACTTATTATTTCATTTGTTTTTGGTGTGTAGCCACATTTGGACTAAAGCCTCCCCCATCTTCCTCAATTTGTTTTTATTAGTAACAATGCTCATCCAGTTTTTACCTGCTATATCTATAATTTCATCTGCCTATGTTTTCATCTGTCTTCTCATTCACGTTTTGCCTGTCGGGTATAGCCATTTTGTTGTTTGATGAATCCATCTCTTATCCTTGTACGTTGCTATATGACCTGCCCATTAAACTATACTGAAGGATATCTGTTATCTTTCTTTTCTTGCGAATATCTCTCTTCTTTTTTCTGCATTTTCTCAGCTTGAATATACTTCTTTCCATTGCATGTTGACAAGACAGGATTTTATTTTTTATTTTTCCACTGTATACACATGTTTGGCTTGCATTAGTTAAACTTAGAAGAATGCAAGAATCCATTATTAACCTGTGGCAATCCACAGTAGATATAAGCACATCACTTAGCCTGATCTTCATATTAGACTCTGCCCCAAACTGAAGTCACTTCTACAATTCATATAACCATAAATAAATATATTTCCATAATTGTTAGAATCTTATTTATCATATATTATTTTCAGTCAACTACAAGTCCAACAAGTTCTGGTGGTCATGGGGATGGTACTTCTGATGTGAGTAATTTTTTATTGCAACCCACCAAGTTTTAAATGCTCTCTGTGTAGTGGTGGTTTATGAGAATTTACTGCCTCATATTATCATTCGCGGGTAAGAGGCGACTAAGGGAAACTGAAACAGGAGATTGAGAGTTGCATCATATATTATGTATGACAATAGAATATGAATAGAATATGTTATAACAATAGAAAAACTGCATGTGCTTAACCTACCTGCAAAGTGTGGCAGCTATGGCAAGTATTCCTACTATGAGTAAATCTATATTCAGCAGTGATGAATAATCAACCATAATATTGTATTACTCATGCCCCAGTGAAACATCAGGAATATATAAAAATAAGTATATTAAATACTATAACATAAGTAAAATTTCTTTCAGTCATTACGTTACTGATTTTTAAGATATAGGATATAATACGCATTATTGTTTTAAAATCTAAATCTATACATATAATAAAAATGTAAATAGCAGATGTCTGTACATTTTATATTTTTGTAATAAAAGTGATTGAGAGGTACTAAAAATAAGTAATTAAATACATTTCTACCATTTTTAGATTTTTCTGTCTGTCTGTCTGTCTGTCTGTCTGTCTGTTTGTTTGTTAACGTATCACGTTTAAAGTACTAATTTATATCATAAGAATAGTTAAGGAAATTATTAAGTGTATATTCAGGTTACATTTAGTCTTTATTTCATTAAAATTGGTTAATTCCATCAAAAGTTATGACAAATATTCTGAAGTATGGGTACTAAGTATAGGTACGAATTTGTTCAATAGTGGCGTTGGATGAGTCATCAAGTACATTTTAAAATTAATATCATATTATAAATCATAATTAAATGATGTAAAATAATGTTCTATAATGATATAATTATATCTAAAACGCAGTAAACAAAAGTATTACATAAAGAACGTAATAAATATATACAAAATATATTAACCTTATTATCTAAACTAAATTAAGTAGTTAACCAATTTCATCGATAGATGGTGGTGTGGCACAAATGTGATACAAATTTTTCGGCGAGGATCAAACTTTCTTTTTTGCTTACTATGCAAGCACTGTTTTATAAGTTCTTTTATGTTTTTTATTGTATCAATCGTGTCAATTAATCTCTTATTTTTAGAATTGATGTTAATAGCGCCAGCTCTCTTTAAATCTATACATAGTATTATATATGTATAGATTAAAAGAGAGCTGGCGCTGGTAAATGGTAATAACATGTTGTGTCTGTTTCTGAATATTGTATAGTATATTAATTTGTGACTAAAATCATTATGGGGACTGTAAATCATTAAATAAGTACATTTTTATAATTTTTAGAATTTTACTATGTGACGGTCTGTCTGTTTGTTTATGGACGCATGACGTTTTGAGTAAACATCTTTTTTTCAATCAAATCCTTAAGAAAATCATAAAGCGTATTATCAAGTTCATTTAATCTTTGTTTTATTGAAATTGGTTAATTCTATCGAAAGTTATGATTATTATTTTGAAATGTAGGTTCGAATTTGTTTAATGGCGCCACAAAATCTCAGAAATAGTAATAAAAAGATTCGTGTGTAAAAAAAATGTTCTATTATAATATATTTCGTATCGTTCTATTATAGTACTTAAAACACAGTAAAAAATATGTTTTAGTGTATGTTTTCCTTAAATTAAAAAAGGATGTTTTCTCACAAAGAACGTAATAGATGGCGTTGTACAAATTACAACCTTTTCTGAATTGCGGTGTTAAGATTTTTCGCAGGTGAATCGTATTGAGACTCACTGAGACAATTTATGTCCATGAGTCTGACAAAGTTGCAAGCCCGTAAGGTATATATACAGCAATCTATGCCTGCCTGTAAGTAAGAGCCATGTAGGCTAACAACAACACATCACAAAAATCATCAGAAACAAAAACCAGAAAAAAGAGATATTGAAATATTCAATTATTCAACAAAACTCGACTAAAAGTAGCAAAATTGCAATAAATGTCGTGATAGTGATATTGTTTTATACGCAGAATCCCTCTAATACCAAATAACTTTCCTTTCAGTTTTAAGTTGGTTTTAAGTAAAGTAAAGTAAAGTTGCAGCCTATTTACGTCCCACTGCTGGGCACACGCCTCCTCTCATTTCTGAGAGGGTTTTAGGGCAAGGAAATGTCCACCGCGCTGCCCCAATACGTGTTGGCGAACTTCACATGTCATCGAAATATTTTTTTTTATTTCTCAGACACGCAGGTTTCCTCACGATGTTTCCCTTCACCGCCGAGTACGTGGTAAATCAGCACTTAAAATTGCAATTAACAATTTCATTGGTGCCGGCGGGGATCGAACCCGGGTTGCTCGAGTACTGTGAAGCTTACAGCGAGCGCTAACCATCTGAGCTACCACGGCTCAGGCTTCAGTTTTAAGATAGGGATAATAACATAGATGTTGGCAACGATAGCTCAACATCGGTGTGCGATGCTTAGGCTACTCAAAACATTGATGTTGACCATTATCGATGTTTTTGGTATATGTGTAGATACTTATACATTGTTTCAAAATTATGTGGGTATACACAGCAAGGGAAAAGTAACAATTAACTTGAATATCAATTTACGTAGAATAGTTATTATGCGACAACCGACAATGACATTACAAAATAAAGCGAAAGCAGTGACCATTGTGACATTACAGGAGACACTTGACAATTAAGTTTGACTCACCATACTTACATTTTTTTAGGTTAACGATGCGTTCAGAAATTCTGAATTATTCAAAATTTTTAATCTTCAGAGCAGATACAAGATTTAGTTGATATTGATTTCGCGAGTTCGCATTGTTTGCAAGTTCCCAATTATCGATTATGGGTTCATTGACGTCGATGTTTCGATGTTTGACATATGTCAACATCGATGTTAAAACATCGAAGTTTTAATTTTTAACATCCCTATTTTAAGTGTGTTTCCCACTCAGCGTGTGTTATGCGACGATCGTAAATAAAGCTCAAGGTCAAACTTTACGCGTTGCAGGAGTGGACTTCAGTACTGATTGTTTTACACATGGCCAACTCTATGTTGCTTTTTCCCGTGTTAGTAGTCACCGTAACCTTTTTCTGTACGCCCTAGCTAAGTCTACTTCTATCGTCGTTTACACAGAAGCCTATAATCGCGAGCTACGCCGCGGGCACAGCTAGTACATAGTATAATTAAATTACTATGTATTTAATTTTAAAGATATCTTTTATGTGCTCCAATTATCTAAAAATATTATATACTAAGGAAATGAGATGTTGGTTCATTATGATATTACTTTATGCAAATAACAAACAAATCTAGGACATACTTCCTCCGGAATATGGGAAGTCTTATAACATATTATATCTAATAAATCATTATGCAATGTACAATGTCTAGTTAACTGCTAAATAATCACAACAGTTATTAGAAATAATTGTTTTTCAGTCAATATCACCCCAATTACATACCTATTTATCGGATCGTACCGGATGCCAAGTAGACAATGCGGCGCTGCAGCAGCAATACGCATCACAACTGGAAGCAAAACTACAAGAAAGGGATGCGTATTGGGAACAGAAAGTTGAGGAATTGAAGCAGTCACTTGCATCAGTCCAAGGTGTGATTTATTTTGATTTTTGCACATAAATACGGCTTTGTGGCGCAGTGGCTTAGCAATGAGTTCGAGCGCTTGGGGCTGCGGGTTCGAATTCCGCACGGAACAAGTATTTGTATGGCCTACAAATAATTGTTCCGGGTCTGAATGTTTGTCCTTGTGCAATTTATGTTTGTAAACTGCCTCCACGATACAGGAGAAAATCCTAGTGTGGGGGTAACATATTTAAAAAAAAGAAGAAAGAAATAGTCTTACTTATATCTGTTTATCATCGCTTACTTGAATATTAATTTTCTCTGTACCAGTCTCTTCATATTGTATTTTAGTGAAAAGGGAGGGAGTAACATTAAGCTTTAATAAAATTGACGTCAAATTTTATGGGTATGGTCGAAAGTTCCAATACTTGATCTGTTTAGCAGTTAAAAAAGCTGCTACCTACACTTTCCCTTATTTTTGGGGTTCCATACCTCAAGAGGAAAAGCAACAGAACATGAATAGGATACTATTTTTGTCCGTAAGCGCATCTGTCCGTCTATTAGAAGCCTTTTTCTCAGGAACAGGTAGAGTTATCAATTTATTAAAAAAAAGAAACTAAGGTTTACGAAATATCAAATCAAGACCATTCCTGTTATATTTTAATAGGGTACTTCTCGTTGACTTAGAATCATGAAATTTGACAAGAAGTTCCACATCACAATAAAAGAAAAAATCCGAAAATGGATAACTTGTAGTTTTTAGTTTAGTTAGTTTAGTTTACGACGGGCTGATTTCCGCAACTCCACGTCCATGCGCGTATTTTGCGTGTGGGCAGGAATAATATGCTTATTCGAGCCATGAGATCTCCCCGAAGAAGCTCAACAGTCCTTGCGTGCAACTTCGGGGAGTGATCTCGGCATGCCGAGATGTTTAGCCCTGTACGTAGCGACCTCCGGACATTTCAATATCACATAGGCCGCCGTTTCTTCTTCCCCCATACATGCCCTGCACAGGGTTCTATCTGTAACATCTATAGTAAATAAATGCTTGTTAAAGCTGCCGTGTCTTGTGATAGCACTTGTTACTATCCTGATCTGCGGCTTGTTCAGTCTCATTAGAACTTTTGTTAAACGACTGTTTATTTCAGGCAGGGCCACCCTAGCTTGTCTACAGTCTACTAGATTTTTCCAAAGCTGAGCGTGTAGATTAGTGAAGTGTCTACGTACCAGTGAACGAACATTACCAAAGGGGATTGAAATTATTGGTTCCGGCCCTATAGTGGCCAGAGCCGATCCTCTTCTGGCCAGTTCCTCTGCTGCGTCGTTGCCTCTGGATCCACTGTGTCCCTTTGTCCATTGCAAAGTTACATTGTTGTTTTTACATACCTCATTTAATCGTTATTAGTCCCGAGTTCACCACATTGCAATTCAGAGCTTGTAGTACCGCCCTACTGTCGGTCAGTATTCTGATGGGGAAGTCATTAACCTTCCTAGCATCTATTGCTATGGCCGCTTGAATGATACCCATACACACACATTTATTATTATTATTCCGCCTGAAAGACTGTGTCATAGGTACCCAGCGGTGTGCATATGTGGATATTGAAGTCTTCAGAGAAAGTTCCAGAACCTACACTTCATTTGTTTTAGAACCATCGGTGAAAACTCTAAGCTCTTTTGGGCTTAATCTTTCCGGCTGGCTGGTTTCATTTAATTGTATCTTATACTTTTTATCGAATACAAATTGTTTAGGAATCTTATCGTACTTGGCTTGTAAGATAGGAATTTTTGAGTGAATTCTATCAATTATGCCTGTATGAGGGACTCTATTCTTACTCCAAAAATTTAGGGTCTTGAGTCTGATGGCAGCTAAAGTCGCTTCTTGTTGTATATGTAGATGAAGCGGGGTTAGCTCTAGCATCGCTTCTAAGGCTGCTGTTGGCTTAGTCTTTATGCAGCCTGTGGCAGCCATACATGCCAGTCTCTGGTAGCGCTGAAGCTTCTTTATAGTGGTGGCTTCATTTGTCTTGGTCCACCATACCAGAGCGCCGTATGTGATAATATATAATTTGTAGTTATAATTGGACGTGGTTATGCAAAAAGGACCCAACCCTAAAGAAGAAAGCTAATTTGAGGTTATGAAATTTTAAGAATGGATCTGTATGGTTTGTGTGTGTGTTTCTAATTTTGTCTTCTTATTTGTCTTACTTTCGTTACGTTACGTTCTTACTAAAATTGTTGCATCACATAATAGTATAGACCACAAAAATTATTTTTCAACTGAACATTTTTGATACAAATTACATTGGATCCTTTTTGCGTAACTATCTCCAATTATGTAACATAATTTTTTTGTGATTACAAACTTACAATTGCAATTGTAACATCAACCGTGATGTCGACCGATTTATGGGAAAACTTTATTTTTTCACTGTAAAGTTTGTCCTTTAATCTGACTTTACTTTTCGTTAATGCATGTTTGGTTCTTATCTTGCTGATTATATCGTATGAATTTCAATACTTAAGTAAATTATTATGATGAAAGTAGGTACTATTTACCTACCTATTTATCTTTGTTAATTTACCGCATTTTCCATTCATCAAAAGCATAATAGAAAAGTAATATTATACCGAATTTAATGAGAGCGGGTAGCGTGACCTTGTCCAGTCGACCGTAAAGTCCAACCTCTTTCGCTACAATATTAGAAGTTAAATTGTATCAGTATATAGTATATTAGTCTATGTATATTAGTCTATTAAACTATTTTTATTATAATGATTTTAAAACTTAAATAATAATTAAGTGATTCGTATTACAAGAAATTACTCTTACTCTTTAAACTTTGATTCAGCTATCTTAATATATTGTTCAATAAATATTTAAAAAAATGTAATAATCAGTGTTGCTAATTAGCATACCATGTTAATGTAACTCCAAAATTGATGATATTAAATATTTACAATATCAAATGCATTACTTACACAAAAATTTCAATTTAAAATATTCTAGATCGGTCGGCTCAAGCAAATAAGGATCACGATCTCATAGAATATCAGTGTGAAATAGCAGCACAATACTACTGTGATTCATAGAGTATAGAGTGAAGAGTACAGGATACCCTTTTTACAGGAAACGAGACATTCCATCTTAGTACTGCATTTCGATTCATAATTCAGGATAGATGTGGGGCACAACATCAACTTACTGTCAGGTGGACTGTGTGGGCGTTTGTCACCCTTTATTCTATATGCGCATATCGTCCGGTTGTTTATGTTGCATACTACGATACTAATAGGTTGAAGTCGTTCGTTTTATTTCATTACACAACAAGGCAAAGTTGTATCACTATCACTACAGCCCTTCACAAGTTCACTGCTGAACATATGTCTCCCCCAAGGAATGCCACAAAGTACAGTCCTGAGCCACCTGCATCCATCGACTTCCTGCATGTCTTACCAGGTCGTCACTCAATCTAGTGGGGGGACGCCCTACACTTCGCCTGCCTATACGAGGCTGCCACTTGAGAGCCTTTCTTCCCCATCGGTTGTCGGTTCTTCAAACTATATGACCGGCCCATTGCCAATTCAGCTTACTAATCTGTTGGGCTATGTCGGTTACTCTGGCTCTACTGCGGATATCCTCGTTTTTAAGTCTATCATGCTGAGAAACCCCTAGCATAGCCATCTCCATAGCTCGCCGAGCGACTTTGGGCTTCCTCATATGGCCAGCAGTGAAGGACCACGTCTCAGATCCATAGGTCATCACTGGCAAACTGTGTACCAGTGGTCATTTATTTCAGGTCTGTACCAAGCAGTTGAACATGTATAGACTGTAAATTTACTTGTAACTAATAAACGTATTATTACACATATATTTATTCACAGGAGCAGAAGCTGCAGCTGCACAGGCCGTAGCCCGCATAGCTCAAGCCGAAGCGGCGAAGGCTAAGGGTGAACGCGATGCAGCCGTGAGACAACTCAACGAACTGAAGGCTCGACTAGTCGCCGTGGAAACTGCGCAGGACAGACTAGATGCACTCACGGTACGTGAGTAACGCTTCGATCAACAGATTAAATAAAATATTGTAGTAACATTGAGGGCATTTCACGAGGTCTTGGGGCTTCTTTCTGTCTATGAGTCTTGTTTGGACCCTTATTTCCATATCTGCTGTCAAACAGCAGTTCATCCACTGCTGTGCTACGTTTTTTTATCTTAGTTTTCAGAGTTGACAAACATCAATAAACATCTCATTTTTAAGATTAAAAAGACCATAAATATATTTATTTTATATATGTACTCAGGAGTCAAGATGGGAGCATTATAAAAGGAGAAGAATGTGTGTTAAAGAGATGGAAAAAGTATTTTGAAAGTTTGTTTGAAAGAGAGGAAGTGCAGGTACAGCATCTGCCACCTTCCACGGAAACTAATATAAATGTTGATGAAAATGAGATAAGCATGGATGAAATAGTGAAAGCGTTGAAAAGTATGAGATTAGGTAAGGCTGCAGGGTATGACAGGATTACCGTCGAGATGCTGAGGGCTGGACAGGGCCTGGTGGCTAGTCAGCTGTACCGCCTTTTCAATCTGTGCTGGCGAAATGGGCAAGTACCGGGAGACTGGTGCAAAGCCGTAATCGTGCCATTGTATAAGGGAAAAGGTTCACGGCAGGACTGCATAAATTACTGCGGTATAAGCCTTCTCAGCGTCGTCGGTAAATTGTATTCGAAAGTGTTGATTGAAAGGATTGTGAATGAAACAGACAAGAAAGTATGGGATGCACAAGCGGGATTTAGAAAGGGAATGGGATGTACGGATCAGGTCTTTTCCTTGCGGTGCATAGCCGAAAAGTATTTGGCTAAAAACAAGAAAGTCTACTGCGCGTTCGTAGATCTAGAAAAGGCCTATGATAGAGTGGTGAGGAATGAATTGTGGTCAGCACTGTCCGTGAACGGTGTGAGCAGTATCCTCATACGAGCAATGCAATCTCTTTATAGGGATTCTAGTGCTTGTGTAAGGATAAACGGGTCATACACTGAATGGTTTAATATCGAAAAAGGTGTTAGACAGGGATGTGTAGCGTCACCGTGGCTGTTTAATCTGTTCATGGACAATTGTTTGTCAGATTTAAAAGAGAATGAAAGTGGGTTGAGAATGAATGAGTTACTCGTCAAATGTTTTCTCTATGCTGATGAACAAGTATTACTTGCGTCTTCGGCCGAGGAGTTGCAGGAGATGGTAACTGCTATGAGTGGAGCTTTTGTTAGAAAAGGAATGACGAAAGTGATGGTGTTTGAAAAAGATGAGGCAGTGACATACTGCAACATTGTGATTGAAGATGAACAAATTGAACAGGTGAAAGAGTTTGTGTATCTGGGTTCAAAGTTTACAAGAGATGGAAAGTGTGAGAGTGATATCGAAAGAAGAGTGAATGCAGGAAACATGGTGAATGGAGCTTTGCACTCCTTTATGAGCAGTCGGAAGGTGTCTAACAAGGCTCGTTTGACTGTGCATGAGGGGGTGTTAGTTCCGACACTCATGTACGGAAGTGAAACTTGGGTATGGCAGAAGAAACATGAAAGCAGAATAAATGCAGTTGAGATGAGAGCATTAAGAAGTATGATAGGAGTTAAACTGAGTGACAGGCTAAGAAATAGTGAGATAAGGAAACGTTGTGGTCTGAAAGAAGATGTAGTGACAAAAATTGAGAAAGGTATGCTGAGATGGTTTGGCCATGTCGAGAGAATGAATGAAGAACGATTGACGAAAAAAGTGTATAAGGCGAGTGTGAATGAAAGTGTTGGAAGGGGTAGACCTAGGCGGACATTTCTAGACCAAATCAGGGACGTCTTGAAAAAAGGCCAGGTCAAGAGTACCCTAAACCGTAGAGCATGTATGAAGGGAATAATGAAAGTGGACGAAGCAAAACAAGTATGTAAGGATCGTAGCAAGTGGAAAGAACTGGTCTCTGCCTACCCCCACGGGAAAAAGGCGTGATTATATGTATGTATGTATGTATTATACATATTCTACGAAATACCCTTAAATAAAAATAGCGATAAAAAATATTCCCAACTTACCATTAAAGTTTTTTTTTTATAGGATAAGGGTGACAAACGAGCACACAGTCCACCTGATGGTAAGTGGTTGCTGTGGCCCATAGACATCTATATCTATCCTCTATTACAAATCAATATGTAGATGCGTTGTCACCCGTGAGGACTAAGATGGAATGCCTCATTTCTAGTAAAGAGGGCCTCCGGCCACCTGCACTCACCAAGCGAAACGCAGAGGTAAACCTCTACTTCACGCTGGTTTTCTGTGAGGTCGTGGTACCACCCCGGTTCGAGCCGGCCCATCCGTGCGACAGCAAAAGCTGCCACCACTGTTAAAAGACCATAAAGTAACTAATGCCCTGCAAAACATCTGAAAAATAGCTTTTCCTGTATACTTTCAATTAAAATTTAACATAATTAAGCTCAGTCTAAAATAAAAGGAATGCTTTTATTTCCACATAAATTTATAGTTTCTGAGGTCGATTCAGAAGCTATTAAATTATGTAAAAATTATTTTATTCCTTTTATTTTTATTAAACATTATTAGTTCTTTCTTGAAATTTAGTTATTTGATAGTATTTTCTTTGTTTTCACCTTAGACCAACAAAGAAAGATTGAGCGCTGTGTACATTTCAAGTAATGTTAAAATTAAATCAAGCAATGCTCATCTTAATGTAAGAGCACTCGATCACGTACACGTACGCGTCTAAAAGCATTTGCAACCAACAACTTGGTTTTTGGTGCGTAAGTGTGCATCCAGCAGTGGACTTTTACGGTGTTTTAAGGATGATATATGATATAAGAAAGATGTATGCGCGAATGCGGGTCAAGAAGTTGAGTATGGTTTCGGTTAAAAAAAAAGTCACTTGAAATGTACGTTTTCATATGCTGATATCGTGTTTTGCTCTACCGTGTGCGCTTACTTACATTTATACGCCTATAGTTTATAAAATTAAAGTGTTTCCCTGTGATATCGAAATAACTGCCTTTTATTGAGCCAAGGGGTTAATTGTATGCTATTGAGACATAATAACCATTTTTAAATTTTTTGCCTCTCTGTTCGTCTGTCCGGAGTAATCTTCCAAATGGCTGAATCAATTGTAATGAAACTTGACAAACAGATAATAAGGAATGCGAGGCGTCATCTAGGATATATGTGGCCGGTGGAAGGAAAAGGGGAGATCTCCCGCCGGGCAAGGTGTTCTGCCCAGGGAGCGGCCAACGCTCCAATTGGTAGTTCGGAGCTATTCTATATATGCTGCTTTAACTTCGGAACTTTGTTAGTGCGATTTAGGCTTCGATGTGTTTCGCTTGTGGCGCGACGACAGCGCCGCCACATATACTTAATCCAATGATCTTGGAGTATTTTTTCGAAAAATGGAAAAATTGATAAAATAAATAGTCGTTGATACTTTTCTTAAATGTAAATAAGGCTACATTAATATTTTAGGTCGCTAGTTTGAAATATTACGATGATCTATATTGTGGGATTTTGATTTGCACATAAACCAGGAAGAAATAGAGCGGTCGCGTCGCACGTGGGCCCGCGAGCGAGCCGAGCTAACGAGCGCTCTGGGCGAGGCGGACGCGCGCGCCCGCGACCTCGCCGACCAGCTGCAGCTGCTGCGCGCCGCGCTGCCGCCCGCCCACCCGCGCCACCACCTGCACGACGACGGTACGTAGTGCTGCTGCTATTGTTAACTCACTGCCAATACCGCTTTTTTCTAACAATGAATAAAGTTGACACAAGCCACAACACCAGTTAGTACACTATTTACTCGACTCCAGCGAGTCAATAATTCATTTTTGGGGCGATGTATACGTATAATTTGTTTTGTATTGTTAATTATGTAACTTATATGATTGTAAACTGTTATTTATTTAAAAAGAACAGCCTCGCTGGGTTTCTTGCTTGTTCTTCCCAGGACAGAGGTTTTTTCCAAACCAGTGGCAAATTACACAAAAGAGTAACTTTCAATATGTATTATTTATAATCTGTATTGTCTGCTATCTTCTCTAATTACTGTAGTGTAACACAGGCTCGGCACGCACTTAACTAAATACGTCCACTCTCGCCCGAGGCTCTCGTGTAACTGACGCGGTGCGCTCGAGACAGTGACTTATATATATATGCAAACACTACATCTCTTTCTTATCAAGATTTTTTTATTTTTTTTATTATAACTCATAACAATCACAAAGCAGCTTGTATTGTCTGTATTAATTATTACATATTTTCGTCTTCTTTATCCTGTTCCAGATTTTGTTCTTTTTCATTCTGATAGGGTGGAATAGCCGTCCAATCGCCTCCTACTTTCTTCAAATGTATCACATTTCTCCTAAACCTTTGGTTCGTTTCACTACTGCGTACTGTGCAGTCACCGTCTCGTGCACTCTCTACGACGTGTGGCGTCGGTTTAAAATTTGTTGTAAGATTATTCGATTTTTCCACTGCTTTTACGTAAACCTTATCTCCCTGTATTATATCTGAGTGAGTTGCTCTGCGTTTCCTATCTACATACTCTTTTCCTTTTTCTTTTTGTATTTTGTCTCTATCCCTGATATCTGAATCTAAATGATTGTCTGTAATTTATTTCACCTATTGATGGAATTTTATCCCTACTTTTTCGTTGAAAAAACAGTTCAGACGGTAACCTCCCGGTAACTGTAAGGAGGGGTGCTGTTATACATTAGAAGATACTCCCACAAACATTCTTTTAAATCCTTCCTCTCGATCTGGCTGGTACGAAGACGTTTCAAAATATTTCTGTTTTGTCTTTCAACTTCGCCGATCATTTGAGGCCAATATGGTACAGTACTAAATAACTTAATGTTACATTATTTGAAGAAAGATCGAAACTCTTCACTAACGAACTGCTTGCCATTGTCTGTGATGATAGAAATAGGATAACCAAGTCTACTGAACATTTCTTTTACCATTTTAATAATCTGTAAGCTTGTGATGTTTTTGTAATTTTTACTTCTTTGTATCGACTATAGTAGTTGACCACTACTAACAGATACTCGTTACTTGGCAATGGTCCCATTAGATCCATTGTGATATCTATCCATGGAGCTGCAGGCAACTCTCGTCTCTTCATTGGTGCAGGTGGGTTTGGCAAACCCACTAACGTACAACCTTTACAGGCCTTTACTAATTGTTCTACGTCTTTATCGATACGGGGCCACCATACCTTTGATCGCAAGCGTCCCTTCATCGCTACGATACCTGGATGACTCTCGTATGCAGCATCTAATACACTCTTGCAGAGTTGCTGTGGTATTACAATTTTATTTCCACGAAGTAGAATGCTATCATGGAAACAACTCGTTTTCAAAAAATTTGTAACTCTTAATCGAATCGTCCCAGTCGTTCTGATAGCCACCTTTTTTCACTTTGTAAATCTCTTGGTCTTTTTCTGAATATGCTAAAATGGCACTCATTGGTATAGCAACTGGTCTAGAATTTTCCACTATTTGGTACACATGCTGGTCTTTTCCTTTTGGTGTGTAATCAGGATAATTACATAATAATCGTGACAAGGGATCAGCTATATTTGTTTTTCCTGGCTTGTATACAACCTTGAATGAATAAGACTGTAGCCTCAGTACCCATCGTTCAATCCTCGCACATGGTTTTGACTTAGACCCGAACAATATCTCTAGCGGCTTGTGGTCAGTGACTAAATCAAAAGGCTTTCCAAATAAAAAAAAATATTGAATGTTCGACCCCCCAAACTAATGCTAGTGTCTCTTTTTCCGTTTGGCTATACCTGCGCTCGCAGTCTGTCAAAGTTCGATTACCATAGGCAATAATTCTAGGGCCATTTGTATCATTTTGTACAAGGACAGCCCCAAGTCCGACAGGGCTAGCATCTGCTATCCAGGTGATCTTGCATCTCTGACGTAATAATACCCTAAAATCTGTATTTCCGTGAGCATCCGTTTGAGTTTTTGGAATGCTTTATCTTGTTCTCCAGACCATTGTTTTTCCAAGCTCTTCCTTTTGCTCATCTTCTGTCTTAGCAGGTGCTTCAGAAGTTCTGTCATGGCGGACAAGTTAGGTATCCATTTGTTTATGTAGTTTAAGAGTCCTAAAAAACTTTGGAGTTCTTCTATGGTCTTTGGGACCCTAAATTTCATAATGCTCTCAACGTACTTGTTGAAGGGTTTACTCCTTCATGTGTAAGCCTGTGTCCCAGAAAATTCACATCCTGCGTTTTATATATGCATTTATTGCTATTCAGCACGGCGTTATTTTTACTAAGTACCTGTAGAACTTTCTTTAGTCATGCGTCATGTTCTTCTTCACTGTTCCCGAATACCAGGATATCATCAATAAAATTGACGACCCCTTCACAGTTTATCAGCATCCTTTCAATGATCTTCTGAAAAATCTCGGAAGCGCAGGTAATTCCAAGCATTATTCTTTTATATCTATATAATCTTTTGGGGGTTATAAAAGTCGTTATGTGTCTGGATTTAGAGTGAATTTCCACTTGATGGAAGGCATTTTTTTATGTCTAATTTGTTAAAATATTTAGCTTTCTTCATTTTAGGCAAAAATGGTCCATAGTAGGCAGGGGGTGGTTTTCTCGCAATATAGCGGCGTTCGTACATCTCATATCTACACACAAACGTAATTCACCATTTTCTTTCATGATTGGAACATTGGTGAAACCCATTTAGACGGGCCTTGCACTTCTTCAATTATATCACTGTTTAGTGATTCCTTAATTTTGATTGCAACCTTCTCTTTAATGGGGATCGGTACTCTCCACTTGATTTATCCCGATACCAAGTTTTAAGACACAGACGGACTGCTGTGTTCTTACCCAACAGGTCTCTAGTACCCCCCGAAATCACGTAAATGGTTGTATGTTCCTTTCGTCCATCGACTTCGAGTATAGTTTCAAATGAACCCTCTATTGCCAAAGGAGAGTTACTACCATATGCTAATAATGTCTCGTCTGGTCTTTACATTTGATTAAAAGCATATACTTTTTTGCTTTTTTAACTCTTCCCACGTTTTGTAAGATATAAGGTTCTTGCGCAATTTAGAATTACACTTTTCCGCAATTTGATCTATGAGATGATCATCTTGCTTTTCGAATGCACACTTTTCGGCCTGTTGACGCAATCTTATCAAAAACTTCTCAAATTTTTCTCCTTTTTCCTGTTTTAGCAATCGAAAAACGTGCCGCTCATAAACTTTGCTCCGTTTAGGTTGAAAATACTCGTCGAGTTTTTTTATGGCTACTTTAAATACATCAACGGTTTCTGATGATTCGACATTGGCACCCGGTAAATTGTAGAATATTTCTTGTATCCCAGAGCCACCAAAATGCAATAGCGTAGCTCGTTTCTTGAGTGCTGATATAAATTCAGCTGCGTCCAGATAGATTAGTAGAGAACTTTTCCATTTTTCACACCTTATAGTCATAGATGTGCTATCACATTAAAGTTGATAACGGTATTATTATTATTATTATTATTTTAGGGACAAACTAAAACAGTTTCTTATATATTTATTTCCAATTTAATGCTGGTATTTAATACCCACAGTCCAATTTAATGGTAGTAACTTAGTACCCAAAGTCCAATTTAATGGTAGTACTTAACACCCAAAGTCCAATTTAATGGTAGTAACTTAGTACCCAAAGTCCAATTTAATGGTGGTATCTTAGCACCCAAACTCCAATTTAATGGTGGTATCTTAGTACCCAAACTCAATTTAATGATGGTATCTTAGTACCCAAACTCAATTTCATGATAGTAATATGTTCCATAACACTCGCCCTTCTCTTTCGGTTTATTTGTTATACCGACTACTTCCATTGCTGTGCCATTTAGGCTTTGGGTGAATTCAATACCTATAATGCGCATTTACAGTATTACTAGTTACCTACTATTCAATTTACAGAAGTCGTGAAGTGTCCACGATTTTTTGTAAGACTTATATATGCCATGAAAGCGGTAAAATAGTATTTTCATTAAAGGCGATAAATATCACACTTACATGTAAAATGCCACTAAAATTTAGCTAACGACATTGTATTTCGGTTCGAATCGAGTGATTGGTTACATCTACTATTTTTCCATCAAAAATCTTTTTAAATAAAAGTTGTGCTAATAGACATATGTTAAAATAAATCATTATTTTATCATTGCTACATAAAGAAAATAAATTTTGCACACCATAAGCGTGGTCTCATATGCGAACATATAATTTATATAAATGATTAAAATGATCATAACAGGGTTAAAAACAATAAATCATAATTCATAATCCAAAGTTTTTTTCCGCGGGTACTCTAGGATTTAGTTTACAATTTGCAATTGCAATGCTAATAGTTGCACATTGCTAACCTATTTTTGTTGATATCTTTATACTAAACAGGTATTTACATTTTTTCTTGTCGCCACTTGTATTGTCTGCTATCTTCTCTAATCACTGTAGTGTAACACAGGCTCGGCACGCACTTAACTAAACACGTCCACTCTCGCCCGAGGCTCTCGTGTAACTGACGCGGTGCGCTTTTTTTTTTTTTTTTTGCGCCCGAAGCAAATTGGAAAAGGGCTACCCTTTACGTAGGGAGGCGGAAAATGCATTACGCATACCACGATGGCTATCCATCGTGGTTATGGGGGACTCACGCCTAACCGGGGAGCCTATGTGATACCCCCTAAAAACCGCCTTTGGGGACTGGCAACCAGCTGTTTAAAGCTTCATATGCCGTATCGGAAGCGACCCTCTTTTGGGAAAAGAGGGCGCAGGCGGCTACAAGCCGCTGAGGGAGTGCCTACGAAGGCAATATAATTGTAAAAATTTAATTATTTATGAAAGTTTAATTATGAAATTGACTGAGCCACCAGGAGGCAGTTCAAGTCGTTTGACAGTTTATTAGGCGGGTTCGAGTGGGAGTTCCTCGGCCTGCGGATGCGATAGCGAGAGGGAGTGGGGTTGCACACTTAGCTACCTCACGAATAAGTATGTTTAATGAAACTCTGAGACTTTGAAGAAGTTTCAGAGAGTTTTAATTAGTGAGTGCCTACGAAGGCAATTTTAACCCGACGTATATTGACCTTACGGTGAAATGATTAAAATAAATTTATAACGTACTTAAAAGATTATGATGCTCTGTAAGAGCAAGGAGTCGGTCCTGAGGGGACTTGGCAGCGCGCAATTTGCGTGCTAAGACGGTGATCTCCCCAATGTTGATGTTCTTAATAGCGGCGTACACCGTATTTAGATCATCAACCATTGAGGGTTGTGTTTACTGTGCAGCGGGGGACGACCGCGGAGGGTCAGCCTTTTTGGGGCCCCAGGGAAAGACTGGAGGCTGCAATGGTTGCGAGAAGCCCGGAGGTGGGCGAAGAAGAGGGGGAGGGACCCGGGAGGGCCTTGGGTCCACCTGAGATGGTCGAAAATAGCTCTTAGGTGGCAATCTTGACGGGAGGGCCGGGAATGACTTAGCATTAACCGGCGGTGGAGCGTGCCTAATGGGGCGGGGGTGAGGTGCGCAAGGGCAGCCTCTGTAGTTAGCCGGGTGGCCTGTTTGTTTACACAGGACGCACGCGGGTGGGGATTCGGCATTTTTAGGCCGGGGACACTCTTTCGTGTTGTGGGGGTTGAGGCACTTAACGCACCTGGGTGGGGCGGAGCAGTTGGCCGCCGCGTGACCATATAACTGGCAGCGGTGGCACTGCGCCGGGTAGCCGCGCCTATGTGGGAGCTCAGCCCTAACTCCCGACAGCCCACACACTGTGCGTAACTGCCGGAAGATGGTCTGTGCCTCCGGAGCGTTTGCGAGGATTACGAGAGCGAGGGGGAACCTCAAGCCCGTTCTGCTGTGCATTTTATGCACAGCCTCAACCGGGAATCCTTGGGACTTAAGGTCCTCAAGGATTTCCTCGTTGGAAATTTCAAAAGGGACGCCTCGGATGACGGCCCTGATTTTGCGCTCTTCCGGAAGAGCGTACGTGTGATAAGAGACTTGTTCGGCTGTGAAGAGCCTGGTGAGACGACGAAAGTCGTCGACAGATTGGGGGATGATTTTAATAGCCTCCCCGAGGTTGGTGGCTTGGTCGTATTTTATTCCTGCGTCGTAGAAGGCTTTGGAGAGGCGGGTGAACTGAGCCTTGTCTCGTAAGAAGACAGGGGGCGGGACTTGCTTCTTAGTTGGGTTAGAAGCACAGCGGGAGGCTGGCTTGGGCAGTGGTGTCACGGAAACTGCAGCGGGAGCTGCGGGGGCTGAGGCAGCTACGGGTGCTGCGGGGTTTGTGGGGGCGGTAGAGGCCGCCGAAACGGTGAGATTTTTCGCGGCGCGTTTACGGCGCTTGGAAGACACTGTCGTGAACTCTGATTCTTCGGATCCGTCTGAGTCAGACGACTCCGTAGACCAGAGCCCCGGAGTGTGGATTCTGAGTCGGAGTTGGAGCACTCCATGTCTACTTCGAGAGGCGCGAATGAGTTCTGGGACTCAATGTGGGGCGCTATAACGGACTGAGATTGGTTTGCGTTATTGACGTAAGAAGTCAACATGGCTAGAAGTGCAGCGAGTTTCTGCGGGTCCTGCGTCCTATTGACGACTTCAAGTACGTAATTTCTCATGTCCTGAGCGGACATTTTGAACTGAGTGTAAGTTATATAAGTTAGGGGGACAGGGGGACACTGTTCTGAGAAGAACAGATCGTATTCTTAAGAAACAGTAAGGGCGGGATCACCGTTCTGAAAAGAACGGGACGGTCTAAATTCGAGGAGTTGTGCCCTAGTTCTCAAAAGAACAGGGCCTTGCTCTGAAAAGAGCAAGTAACTCCCTTGAAACATTATACACGTTACAATTAATAACAATAAAATAATCACAAAAACAGAAATGACAATTAAAAAGCAAGACCAACAGTCAAACCGCCCCGCCCGGAGACAGGGAGGTAATAACTGGAGTTAGCGTAAAAGGACTCACCAGGCGTCGCACTGTACAGTGCGAGCAGGACAGCGGAGGCGCGAGAGCGAGAGAGCACTACCGTACGGGGACGGATGTGCGGACTACCTGGACACGACCGCTCGAGAGCGGTGCCACAGGCGGAATACCTCGAGAGGCGGTGCGCTCGAGACAGTGACTTATATATATATGCAAACACTACATAATCTATTTTGAATATAAAAGTTTCTGTTTCTGTTGAAAAATCAACGCTACCTGTACCTGTTAGTCAAGTGCTACTGCCGCTGTAAAGTTACTACCGGCACTGCACATTGTCGTTGCGTTGCTCAAGCGTTATTGCGCCTGTAATATGACGTCAAACAGCATGTAAAATTGCAATTAACAATTTCATTGGAGCCGGCGGGGATTGAACTCAGGTTGCTTGCGAATTGTGAAACTAACAGCGAGCGCTTAACTCCTGAGCTACTACGACTTGATGTGGGTATATATTAAAAACTAGACCCTAAGGCACATTCACACGACATATTTGAATCGATTAAAGTTAGAAAAATTTACTTTGCCTATATCCGCAATAAAATAAAATGATGTGTCTTATCTAGTTTGAAGAGCACCTGCAGCCCTCACTCAATTGCGTGCACTATCCCCGTTACCACATATCCCAGCACCACTACTCCCACCACCGCTACTCCCACCACCACTACACTAGAAAATACACACCATCGACGATAATACGACACGTGTTTCGCATCTACGCGAGGCATCCTCAGGCTTAGTAGACTCTGTGGTGGCTGACCGCTAAGTCTTATTAGTATTTTTCCAACTATAATATAATGTATTTCCGCAAAGTAACGCCTGATTCTATTAATTAGATTTGATTCGATCTACCTTCAGCGTACCGCTATTTGACTCATTATATCGACTCATACTTTCGCGTAACGGTCATCTTTTAATAACGAAGATGTTTTTTGACAACTCTTGTTTAGCTGTAGTAAGAGAAAACAAAAGGAAAAAGAGGCTTAAAAGAAATACGTAAATTAAAGTTATCGCGCGGAGGTGGGTAGGTGAAAAAAAATTATTTCTGATAAGTAAAGTGTAGTGTTGTTGCTGCAATGCTACGTTTGTAAGACAATGGTCAGTAAGATGCTAATGCCGTTATAAAAAAATCCAGTAACAAAAATTACATACTCCTCAATCCAGGACTAACATGGTCATTCGCCCCGGTACCGCGAATGTGTGACACCTATAACTCAGTGATGTATTGCCTTCTGTTTATATTTTTCATGATACTTTCCCTAAATATAGGAAAAATGTAATAAATCGCTATTATAAATGTCTAATCTATAATATCCATGTCCCTTAACAGCCGCTGCTTGGTTACATGCATGATTTTATTGTCTTAGTTAGTTATAGGTATTTTTTTGCGACATATTTCTTTATTACCTATTGTAACTGTGCTGTCTTAATTTTATATTATTTTGTAATGCTGTGTCACCTATAAGGGGGGCACACATCAGTCCCTAGATTATGCCTACTTTCAATAAAAATGTAATAATGTATGCTCTGCTAGCCTATAAATATAAATAAATAAATATATAAATTAAGTACACCACGGTAAGATTAATTCTGTTATATAAGTATAAAAAAACTTAGTCAGTAACAGTAGTCGTGGGTGCGGTAGTAGAGGCCGCGTAAGATAATTCCTGTCCTACTAGATTTATTATTCCGTGGGTGTCGTAAGAGTCGACAGACGGAAATGTAGCAGGACATGGGCTGCAGCATCTTCCTTACAACAACTCGGAATAATAAAAAAACCTGCAATTGCTAACCCTAACTTGTTATTTTTAGCACATCTCGATAATATTATATAAAATGACGATTTGAAGTGTACACTTTGGAAAAAAAGTGTATACTTTGTAAAATTACTACCACCATTTGTATAAATCCTTATTTCTAGTATGCTAATACTAATTATAGTTTTTACCCTTAGGCGAGCGTTCTAAGTATAGTTATTCTATTTAACGATGAAGGTTTAACTTTGGTTGTTGTTAGCCGTGCACATACACATTGTGTTAGTGTGCGTAGGCCTCGGGAGCGCTCAGTCACGAGGAATCGCAGTTACACACACAAACGCGCCTGTCGGTAGACGCCACTACTACAATCAAGGCGAAACCTTTATCGTGAAATAGAATAACTTTAATTGCAGTGTAAAGTGTGTGTTTGCTTACTTTATTATTACTTTTGTAGATAAACGTGAATTAAAAGAGAGTGGTTGCGATGACTATGACCGCGTATGTCGAGAGCGGGCGGTGCTTACAAGACAACTGCAGGAAGCCAAGATGGCGCTCGCAGACGTCAAGACGTCTTGGAGCGGACAGATCGCGTCGCTTGAGACACAGGTGATTTTGGTTTTTTAGGTTTAGTCAGACGGGCATATATTATAGTTGCAGGAATCGAAACCAGTTAAGCGAACAATTATCTAGGTGTAATTTTTTCTTCTATGATGTTTCGCGGGAACATTACTGATATGTTTGAGCAAAGCCTATCCTTAGGATAGGATTTGTTCGTCGAAACTTGTCAGAATTTAATAACAGCAACATTGTACAATTCTTTGGTTAGAAGCCAGTTGAAGAGCAATGAAGTTCACGTCACGTGAGCAGTGAGGTCTCACGTCAAGCCATGTACACTTTCGTATTGGAAAAGATAAAAAACAAATTTACTAGGTTTAGCTCGACTCACTAGATGGTAAAACTCCTTTTCTGCCTAGAAATCTGTCTGGGCAGGTACCATTCTCTTGCCTACTTTTACCGCCAAGTAGTATAGTGCTTACACTGCTGTGTTCCGGTTTTAAGGGTACAGCGAGCCAGCAGGTGTCCATGGACAGCAGTAGTCCCTTATTGAAACAAAATCTACAGCTTATACATATACCAATATATAGAAACGAGAGACGACATTTTATGTTATATAGAAGCCTTTATAGATTTACATTTTTTTTTGCAAAAAATTTTTTTTGTCTTCAGTAATGTCAACAAATAGTTTACAGTGTATAGCGTAAGATAACTTTACCTGCGTCGAGGTTGTAAGTACTATATGTATAATGTATATTGATATTATGAGTACTGTTTACTGTATTGTGTATTACTGTATACCTTATATTAGGTATTAGTGTGATGAGAATGAGAGGAAGGGCGTGCGTGCGTGCGTGCGTGCGTGCGTGCGTGCGTGCGTGCGTGCGTGCGTGCGTGCGTGCGTGCGTGCATGCGTGCGTGTGTGCGTGTGTGCGTGTGTGCGTGTGTGCGTGTGTGTGTGTGTGTGTGTGTGTGTGTGTGTGTGTGTGTGTGTGTGTGTGTGTGTGTGTGTGTGTCGCAACTTCAACCTAGTAAACAAGTTAATTTAAAAAATAAATAAAAATCTCAAGCTAAATGGCATATGTTCCTTTTTACCCGTCATGTACCCAACACTATTCATATTTGGAATAGTAGGCTATAGGTAAACTTTGTCAGAAGAAAATGAACGCTATGTATATATCTTTTGAAATTATTATTAGGTAAAGTTTTAAATACAGATTTATTGGAATGTCTGCATCTAATATGTCGCTGATGATTAGGTACGTATCGTGGTGGCGTGTGCACGACTCTCCCGCGGCTCCAAGGCTGCTGCGCGTAACGATAAAATTAATATTTTATTTTAAAAAAAATTACGCTAAGCGTGCCAATTTTTTTTAGTGAGCTTACGAGGATTGCATTATTTGTTATCTGTTAAAATAAATAAAGTTGTTACTACTGCCCATGGTCACATAATACCAACTTCAAATAAAAAGGCTACAGGTGCGTTGTCACCTTTGAGAACTAAGATGTAATGCCTTCGCTTCCTATCCTTCAGATTGGAATACATCTGTGCACGCACTGTCGCTTGAAATAGGAAAGAGAAGAGAAAGAGCCAATAAAGGAGTCCTACCAGCTAGTAAATTCGCGTGGCAAAATTTTTGTAGATTTTTTCAGTGTTAGTCAAAGCATTTTTGTCTTCTTATTACATTTAAGGCCAATGTATGTCGTTTAAAATTAATATATGTGATCATCTGATTACTATTAGTCGAAGTTTGTATGTTTTGTGCATGTGTTGATTTTGTTGAATAAGTGCATGCGAATTCTCTTTTTTCATGCAACCGTGACCTTTGTTCTTTTATTTTCATTGATTAATATTTACTAACAAACGTTAACTATATGTACATATCTCGCAAAATAAACCATTCCTTGGCTATCGTATCTTGTAATATTTTATTTATATGATAAGAAAAATTAAGGTTTGCTCCTTGTACTTCATACATCGAATTGAAAGAAATATCTATTGTGCGGTCTGCTACATTGTCACTTTAGCTGCAATACCCTGTATCTGTTTTTATTATTCATATAGTTTTGTTTTTCGTTTTTTGGTAAAAGCATACGCCCATCTCTATTGTCATACGAAGTTGTATCGCTAGGTGGCGCGTTTATCGCGGCAAGCGGGAGAGGAAGGGGCGGAGAGACGACGTGTTGAAATGGAGAAGAAAGAAATACAAGAGAAACTTTCCGATTTGACAGCTGAACTTGAAAAGACTAGACAAAGCTTGGCTAATAGTGAAGCTAAGGTAGTATTAAATTCTTCTTATACAGAAATATATTTATTTTGCGTATTCTATAGTATATTTAAGTCCTCTCTAGTCTCTTGGTGCAGTAATTTAAACCATATCTATGAGAATCTCGTAAAATAATAATGTAACATGTATTTCAGTCTTTTAGGCTCGATTTTACCAAAACCCTTATAATACGAGAAAACTTAAAAAAGCAACCCTTTTAATTACATGATAATTTTTCTGTGTTAAAATTTTTCGTTTCTTAATACTTCCTCGAGATACATTACAATTGGTTATTTATAATCTATCATATGAAGTGAGATGTCGAGTAAAAATGATGTTAGATGTTGTATTGAGGCATTTCTGATTTCTTCTGATAAGTTTAGTTTGCCATGTCCATTTGACGAAAAATTCTAAATAACAAGAAAAAACAATGAACAATTTAATAAATTTGATAATGTGGTGTTTTCGTTTTAATGTTTGGTTTATTTATTTATTTAAAAACTTAATTATTTTACCAAAGAGGTTATGAAGAGCGAAATCAACCAGTCAACCCATGGCTTGGTGGCGCAAGGAGCAAATAATAAATTTTGTAGTATCACTTTCTTTAAATCAACTTAAAGATGGTTAAAGGTGTTTTTTAGACTAAACGTAGACCGCTGTTCGTTTGTATGAACTTAAAGGTGGTAAGTACCCTAATTATATGTTGATTTTGCTTTTTCTGCTGCTCATGGTTAGATAATGACAATAAAACTATTGTATACATGCCATTTCTTAAACTACTACTGTTCTTTACTCTGGCAAGTGCTAATGAGGGTTATCCCTCGAATTATCTACTTAATATGTATTTATTATATATATATATATATATATATATATATATATATATATTAAATACATATTATTTTATTATATAATATAAAATAATATATATATAGAAGAGTAAAATTATTATTCTCGGAGTAAGTGCCCAATTACTAGTGATCGGCATAGGTAGTGCTATTCCCGGGATTTAGTGACCGTTATACTCATATGTATATGCCTTCTGAATCCCTTGAAGTATATTATTTATTTATTTTTATATATTTAAATTGTGTCCGAAACAATTGTAAGAAAAATGTATTTAAATAAATTATTTGAACAGAACATAGAAACTATATATAATATGATTTCTCAGGAAAAATTTTGGATCTCTCTTGATGAAACCATTGACTTCTTAGGCAGACATGTTGTTAATTTTCTAGTAAAGGCCCAATTTTCAGTGAATATTAAAAAACCTTGCTTAATTGCATGTAAAATGTAAGAGAAATTTATTTGTAGGACGATATCAAATTTTGTAATAGTGTTTAAAACACATTTGAGGCAAATCTTGTAGCACTAATGTTGGAAGCGTGTTAGTATTATGCACAGACAGTGTAGCGTACATGATCTTGGCAGGATGATTGTTAAAATGATTTATTCTAAATATAAAGCGTGTGATATATTTCGCTCACATAGTTTCAGAAACAATTCGTTCCGAATACCCTGACATCAACTGTCTAATTTCAAATGTAACAAAAGGTTTTTAAAGGCTCCTAATAGAGTTAAGATACTTCCAGAGATACCCTGACATGCCTTTACCCACAGAACCCGTAATCACAAAGTGGGAAACTTGTTTGCATACTGTTTCATATCATAATATTTTAATGAAATAAAAACAGTTGTCACGTTTGAGGGTATCAGAAGAATTGCCAATACGAGTCGTCAAACAAATGTGTGAAAAACCAAATATCGAAAATGATTTGAGATACTTTGACGAATATTGTGGATCGATTGAGTTTACAATACTAAAGTTACAGAACTCGGACTCATCGATTATGCAATCATTTGCAATATTAGATGAGATAAGGGCTGCAAATAACTGGGGCTCAACCTAAGCCGTGAAACAAAAATTAGAGAATGTCATGTCAAGGTATCCAGACGATAGATGTTTAGAGACTATATAGTGAGAGAATATCACCTGAAGAAGATATCGATGACATTTTACTCTACAAATTCGCTCCACTCACTTTAGTGGACGTCGGGAGAACATTTTTTCGGTACAAGTGGATTTTAAGTATCAAAAGAAATAGACCAAAAGCGGAGAATATAGAATAAATTATGGTTATTTATTTTAATTCTGTAGATCTTTCATATGAATATGATAGTGAAGCAGAAAATGATTAAGATTGAGGTTTATGATATGTATATTTTTCTAAAGCCCACTTGCATCAACATTTTAACTTTAGGGTTAACGGCGCAACTTAACAGAATAGAATAGAATAGAATAATTTTTTATTCAATATAGATCACATGTGTAATTCTTATTGAAAGTCATTTTTTACTTTACCACTGGTTCGAAAAAAAACCTCTGTCCTGGGAAGAACCAGCAAGAAACCCAGCGGGACTTTTTTTAAAGCAAATTTTACAATAATGGTTGTACAAACTATAAAGTACAAAATTTATTTTAGAAACAGCTTGGAAGCGATCACCTCATTCCCAGGGGTTATTATCAACCATGTATTCATTTATACTATAATAACCCTTTTTATACAGTTTCAACTTAACAAAACATTTAAACTTGCTAATAGAGAGAGCCTGTACACTTTCCGGTACCTTGTTGTAATAGCGTGTACATTGCCCCAAGAATGAATTACTCACTCTGTGGAGTCGAGAAACTGGTATCACTAGCTTGTGTTTGTTCCTAGTGTTTACAGAATGCACATCACTTTTTTTTTACTAAAACTACCTTTGTTTTTGTGAACATACATTAAATTTTCGTAAATATACTGAGAGGCCAAAGTATATATTCTTTAAATTTATCTCTAACAGACTCTCGGTTTTAGGTTGTAAATAGCTCTAATGGCCCTCTTCTGTAAAACAAAAATAGTTTCTGAATCAGCCGCATTTTCCCATAGCAAAATCCCATAAGGCATTATGCTATGGAAATAACTTTGATTATTATGGTTTTCCATATATTAGAATTATCAAATCTTGGACCAAACTAAGTTAACTAGACTTTAGTTAACTGTGGTACAAGTTCACTTTAGATTTTGTTTCTATGAACAAATATATCATCATTCATCATCATCATCATCATCATTCCAGCCTTTCATAAGTCCACTGCTGAACATAGGCCTCCCCCAAGGAATGCGACAAAGAACGGTCCTGAGCCACCTGCATCCACCGACTTCCTGCATGTCTTACCAGGTCGTCACTCCATCTAGTGGGGGCTCGCCCTACACTTCGCCTACCGGTACGAGGCTGCCACTCGAGAACCTTTCTTCCCCATCGGTTGTCGGTTCTTCGAGATATATGGCCGGCCCACTGCCACTTCAGCTTACTAATCCGTTGAGCTATGTCGGTTACTCTGGTTCTACTGCGAATATCCTCATTTCTAAGTTTATCACGCAGAGAAACCCCGAGCATAGCCCTCGCCATAGCTCGCTGAGCGACCTTGAGCTTCTTCATACGGCCAGCAGTGAAGGACCACGTCTCAGATTCGTAAGTCATCACTGGCAACACGCACTGGTTGTACAATTTCGTTTTCAGGTTTTGAGGTATGTCTAACGAGAAGATGTTACTGGTTAATACAGCTACAACTATAAACAGCTCCGCGCGGGACCAGCTTATACCGGAGATTAGTACTTTGATATGCCGTAGTGCGTACTCATATCTTAAACTGTTTACCTTCATTTAATGCATCAACATTCAGAAAAATATTCCCGGGAACCCCGGCCCATGTTCATATTAACATTATCATTCCAAGTTCATTGACCAAAAATGGCGCTACCTATGCCGATATCACTACTAATTACGCTAGATAGTTCTTATTCTACTTTGGTAAAATCGGGTCTATTAAGTACATGTTATACTAGAAATAAATTATGCTTAGGCCCTTTTCTAATTGGTCGGTGCGACAGTGATGACAAGGCTGTCTTTTCGAGATTTTACCGATGTCTCGTGATAGCGGCGTCTTGCGTGGACGAGGTTGTGATTCTATACAATACCTATTTGTGATTAAAGTCAAACATGATTTAAGGCTATACGTATCCATATTGTGACAGGAGGTACCTGGTAACTAAAGAAATTACAAATACTAATATTTTTGTACTTTTAAAACGATTACTTTTATATTTAATACCACATTAAGAAGGTCATTCGAATTAGATGTCTCGACGCGTCGCACTGTAATCGCGTTGCGTCGAATAATGAAGTAATCATTATTTGTTTAACATACCCGCCGTACGCCGTACCGCTGTCGTATCGACTATGTAGACATATGATGAGAGCACGGATAATTTTATTTAACAATCTCTGTTGTTGCGCTATGCTTAGACTGACATTTGTCTATAAATAGGTGACTAGGCTGAACAACGAAGTGCACACGTTGGCCATGGAGGTGAAAACACTTCGTGCAGCCGCCGACCACACGGCCGTGAGTTCGAGTCTCTACAGCATTTAGGCTACATTTATAAATATGATAGTTAATGTTGTCTTAGCTTCACAGAGATATTGGCGTATCTAGATGTATTTTGCGTATGAGCTATGGGCTAAATGTACGATTTCGTATTAAAAATTTTAAGTTTATGAATATTATTTCAAAAAACTTCTCTGAAATTATTTATTTAATCAGTAACATACATTAATTCCGTTAAATTTTCCAAATTCTAAATATTACTTGAATTTAATATCTATAAAAATATAATAGCATATATCTCGCATCACTAGAGTTGAAGATAAATTATGCGTTAAAAGCTTTTAAAAACTAGCTCCGCACATTTCGCATAGTTCTTCGGAAACCATCTAGATGTTTATACTTTGTATTGTTGTAGTATAAACCTATAGTGATGTACGTTAATAAAATATAAACACGTAAAAATACATTATATTTCTTTCGAAGTCAATGTCAATATTTTTAATCAGGTTATTTATTTAGCTTACTTGTCACTTCCATGACTGACTGACACTCGCAGAATTCTATCAAGAGAAGCCATAATTTAAAAGAAGAAGAAAGTTATTTAGGTTACTTAAAGGTATTACTTTAAAGTCTACCTGTATTTCAAAAAGATAGACCTTTGAAATTAGTAGTTTGAATTCCATTCGAAGTTATTATTATATATTAGAAGTTATTCTACAAAAATACAATCTATATCTTGGGTACTTAAGGTACACACCAATTACGATTGCATGCAGCTTCGGGTAAATACTGTATTTTAAAGTTGAAAATAAATCGGCGAAAGGTCACAGAGCGTTTTGGCTGGGATTTCAACCTCCCTAGGCTCGAAATTCAGCCGAGACATTTATATGTTGAAAGGCGTAGTTCCTTATATTATGTACGTCACTGTATGTTAAGAAATTAATTTAGACATTCCATGGTATTTTTTTATGGTAGAAAAAATTATATTTTGTGAAATTGTTTATTTAAGCCTTTATAGTTTTAGAAGTCGTTTTTGTTACATTTAATTAGACTTATATAATTAGGTTTTTATTAAAATATATGGCAGCTTTGTTAATGTACTAAATATCTTAAAATATGGTTACCTCTGATTTATATCTCACTTACATCCTTATAATTCCAAGGTAAGAGAGTTCATATTATTTTGATTTTACAAATTAAATTATATTATTATGAAAAATGAATGTAGTAAAGACCGAAAAAAATATTTCGAAGACGTGAAGACGAACGTTTTCTTGACCTACAACTTTCTCAGAATTGAGAGGTGGCCTGTGCCCAGCAGTAAAACGTGAAATTATTTTTCATTTTGCGTTGCAAAGATTATTTTTAGCAATAGTTTAGCATCATTTACTTATATTTTGTTATTATATAACTAAGGGATCTATTTATATCCTTGTTTCTTAAATAATTTTTTTAATAAAGGCATTGTACTTATTGGGGTAATTGGTTGTTTTCGAGTCATCGCACCAGGCGTTATTGCTTTTCACTGGCTTGTATGTATACCTTTCATGTATTTATGCGATAAAAATTTGGTACGTCTCCCCTTATCGCAATGTAATCTACTATAAAGATGATAAGTTCGCATCTTATGACTCTATTTTAATTGTTAACAAATATTATTTGACATTCCTATGCACAGCGTTTAATACATGAAATTGCAACAGTTATGAAAACTTGTGTTTTCGCTTTAAATTTGAACATAAGGTAATTCTTAATAATTTATAAATTTTGTGATTATATTTAAATGGTTCTAATTTTTTTCTGTAATTTAAATATTGTTTTAATTACATGTTTTATTTGGAAAAAAAAAAGATTATTAATTTAATGTATTTAAAACACGTGCAATAAATTATTTTAGAATGTTATTTTTTTTATTTTTTTCACCTTGCATGTCGCCAGTTTGCTTATTACTTGCATGTTTATTTAAGTTTTTTTATGTTTTCTGTCTAATACGGGTGGAGGTGTGTGTATTAATAAGCATCTTGTCTTTATGTATTGTAAAATTAACACTACGAAACTCTCAATGCACATTTATACAACGATGCCAAAATCTACTGTGTGAATATACACTTTATAATTTAGAACTCTACAACTTCGGAAATCTTATCTTCTTATCTTGTCTTGAAACGTCCTAAAATTTTGGCTTCTATATTGACGTTGTGTTTAAGAACATTATTTATACATATCTGTTTAATACTTACTTAGATTATTGCTAGATATTAAAGTTGTGAACTTAGCACGGGTGTTTTATTATTGCGAGAAAAACCTAAAATGTTTGTAATTAGTTAAAGCTTTATAATTTGCTTTACATTTCATAGTGTAGTTTGCATGTATCAATAGTAAATGCTGCTCTACAAAAACCTATATATATGTATAATATTATATAAGTAGATAAAACAAACATTAGCGCCAGTTGGATCATCAGGTTTTTACATTTTCGTCAGTTTTTAATCTATTTCATAGAAATTAATCTTACAGGAAAAAACGATGGATCTAGAACAACAAATAGAAACGTTGACAGAAGAAAATAGGCAATTATTGGAGGCGTTAGAGAACGAAAGGGCACTTGTGAAGATACTGCGCGACAAGGTGGAGAAATCGAACCAGTTATACGACGAACAGAAAACGGAATTTAATCACTTGAACAGTATGGTCATGGAAATACAGCATGATTATGTTGATATACAGAAGAAGTATGACAAGTGAGTTATTTAAAATTATCGAGGACTTTGTTTTTAAACGTTTTCAAACAAGCAGTCCTCGTGAACAAGTTTTATGTAGCAACGCTAATATTCGTAGGTATTACGACGCGATGATTGATATTGGTAGGTTTGTTTAATACAGTTTTCCTAGGAAGACTGGGCCAACAATTCGTTTTTTTTTTAACTATACCAGTCTCCGGATTGACTTCTAATCCATCCATCTTTCCTTCCAATCATTCATTACAGCCCAGAAAAGTCCACAGCTGAGTAAAGGCCCATAGATTGCTCATAGAGGGGATTTTGCCATAGTTGACACGATTGGCAGGCGACTTTGGCTTTAGGCTTTTTTGTAACTATTTTGAGTTGTTTTCAGCAAGATGCTGTTGTCCATCTCCTGTTTCAGTTTCCCTTTGTCATCTCTTACGACACCTACGGGATGATATTGCGTAGGGGATATTCTTAAACCGCCACTACACGGTGGCTTTCGAGCCGCGGTATAGTAACCAGGTTCGCTAACCTCAGGCTTCGCAGTTATCTATAATATAATAAAATTTTCACGTGGTAGGGCCATGCTGCAGCTATATTGGCAGTATAGTTGTAGCATGAATGGGTCGGCTCGATCGGGGAAGGAGCACACTCTCACAGAATACCAACGTAAAATAGCACCTTAACACTGCTATGTTTCGTATGGTGAGTGTAGAGAAGAGGAGACTCTTTTTACTGGAAAAGAGGCATTCCATCGTAGTCCCCATGAGTGACAACGCATCTGCATTTTGATTCTTTATTGAGGATAGATGTGGATGTCTATGGGTCACAGCAACCACTTACAATCAGGTGGACTGTGTGCTCGTTTGTCACCCTAATCCTATAAAAAAATATATTTTTCTTCATCAATTCGTAGAAGAAGCCCCCTTCTGGACATGACCTCTCCCGCTGTTAGAAGGCTGACGATCGCAGCACCACATGTCTCGCATCTCTTTCTTTCTTTGAGGCTGATCCCCGTCGGCTCTATGTTTATTTTACGTCTGACTGCGACTCTTACGATAACCACGGATTGAAGTGGGGTTTCACTTATGCCGCCAACACACGGCCCATTATATTATTATTACATAAACATGTAATACTATAAAGTACACAACTCACTTTTTCCTACTACAATTCATCATTCACTACAGCCCATCAAAAGTGCCCTGCTGTATATAGGCCTCCCCATATATTGCCTCATACGAGGGACATTTGCCATAGTTGCCACGTTTGGCAGGCAGGTTAACAAGCGCATTTTTTTAACTTTATAGTTGTTATCAGGAAGAGGATGCTGCCCATCCACTGGTTTGCTTCCCTCTGTCACCTTTTATGACAATCGTGGAACATGGGACATGGGATGGATGGATATGGGTTAGTGGGTATTCTTACATCGCCATTACACGGTCAAAGTACTACAAATACTCATATATTTCAAAATATACAGAATTTAATGAGAGCGGATAGCATGACCTTGTCATGGCGACAGTAAAGGCCATGAAGCAAATACAAAGAGGAGACGTTGTAATTAAATTTCACTATGTAACAACGCGTGACAATTTGCGGGGTGAGGGGATGCAAAGCCCCGCCCACTACACTATCTACATCTACCGATAAATAGTAAAACTACTCGAATCTTTCCATATCGATGTTGCAATGTAGCTTAGCTACCTTGACGGTAGATGGCGGCATGTCCACAAAATGTTAAAAACTTTAAAAATAACACTTTGGCGATTAAAATTTCTTTATGTCTGAATGCAAAGAAATTTCAGCACCTTCGTATGATTATTTTATCATTACTGAGCTCTACGTACCTTTATATTTTTAGGTCACAGGACACAAAGTGTCGCCATCTAGTGTGGAATATATTTAATTATATTTGAAAGCCGACGCAAAGAGATTTTTCTAGAACTATTTTAATAAATCAGGTGTAAAATTACTTAAAAATGAAATGTGACGCCATCCATAGCATCGGAGCGTCTATCTCATGCAGCTAATACATTCAGACAAAGAAATTTTAATCGCCAAAATAATATTTTCATAGTTTTCATAATAATCTTGGGAACAGGCCGCCATCTATCGTCAAGTAAACCTCATAAAAAATAACAAAAAGACAGGGCTGCAATTAGAATTCAATTATTTTACCCAGTAACCCAACATTCAATATTAAAATGAAGGAAATTGTACTTGGCTGATTTTTATGAAATGTTTAAGTTATATTTAAGTGACATTCTATATGCAAAGAATCACTTAAATACAATTTAAATATGTTTATCATTTCGTGAAAGTCAACCAAGAAATATTTATTTTATCCATAAAATAAAGTCTCTTTGAAACTAAATATTCTATGTTCAATATTAAGTAGGATATTTAATTTGGAATTAAATATCCTACTTATCTCACTAATATTATAAAGGCGAAATTTTGTGTGCTCTTTCTGTCTCCTTGAGCTTATTCCACACTAAGTATGTGTAATTTTTTCACGCAGAAACGGCTGGGTTATTATTTATATGTGGGTTATACTACTTAATATCTCTGAGGGAGAACAAATAATAGACAAATTATTATAATTAATATAATTTTATTTACAAATCAATTAAAATATAAATATTTTATTCCAAATCAGGCATCCGAATGCACTTTTTGAATGCCAATCTAAGAACATTAAATTGTATTTAAGTGATTCTTTGCATATGTAAAAATCAGCCTAAGTACAATTTCCTGCATTTAATATTAAAAGTTGGATTACTGGGAAAAATAATTGAAATCTAATTAGGGCCCTGTCTTTTTGTCATTTTTATGAGGTTTACTTGACGAGAATACGGCCTGTTCTCAAAATGATTATAAACTATAAAAATGATATTTTGCGATTAAAATTTCTTTATGTCTGAATGCAAAACAAATTTCAGCACCTTCGTATGATTATTTTACCAATACTGAGCTCTACCTTTACATTTTTAGTTCACATGACACAAAGTGTCGCCATCTAGTGTCGAATATATTTAATTATATTTGAAAGCCGACGCAAAGAGATTTTTCTAGAACTATTTTAATAAATTAGGTGTAACAATATTTACAAATGAAATGTGATGCCATCCATAACATCAGAGCGTCTATCTGAATAGTTTTTACACAATAAAACACAACACTTCATCCTTTTCTTATTAATACTACGAAAATACACCGATTTGCGATTTTTTCAACACATAAGCGCACAGGACGAATGCTGACAGTATACTAACTAAAGCCACGCCCACTATGATGACGTCAGGACCTACTTAGAATCACAGTGCACAGTTGCTTATGCCGTCTCCCCTTTGTATTAGCTTCATGGTAAAGGCCAACCTCAAGACAAGGCAAAACAGTCCGTATACAATCCTTGTTTTTTTACATACCTAATTTTTATTACATTTTAAACACAAAAATTGGATAACCTTACCGCTAAAACCAATGCTTTCTGTAAACCTTTGGATGAACAAGCAAAATGCTATAAACTAATCAAATACTAGCAATGATATAAAATTCGTAGAAAGTTTTCGCGAATGATACTTAAGAATTTTTACACCAATATAGTCCCTCAAATGCATGCTATGCACAATTGGTGCTTTATGCCAAGAGTCCTTTTAATTATTAATGTTTCGTGCAAAGGGAAATAAAAAAAAATAATGCATAAAATCAACGTGAATTTTTCTTTAAACCTGTAATTACCTACCTATATTATAATAAAACTAGCAGTTCCTCGTGACTTCGCCCGCGTGGAATTTGTTACGTAAATTTTATAGGTTTTAATTTTTTTGCGCGGAACCCTAACTCCTTTTCTAAAATAAAAGTAGCCTAAGTTACTTCTTATAATACCAGCTATTAGTCAGTAAAGTCTCGTCAAAATCGGTCCAGCCGTTTCCGAGATTAGCCGAAACAAACAGACAGACAGACAAACAAAGATTATAAAAAATTGTGTTTTTGTTATAAGTACGGTATATCTTTTCATATGCATTTAGTTAAAAGGTGTTATTTTGACATTACAAACAGACACTTCAATTTTATTTATTTGTATAGATGAAGATTTTTGAGCTAATTTAATAACAGTTCCGTTTTGTACAATTTGGCATGTATCACTTAAGATATTAATCGGCATGTATAAAAAAGGAAACATTAATCTTTAATACATTTTAATTCCAGGGAGAGGCGTGAAAAGGACGAAGCGTTGTTACGCAACGCGCACATGTCACAAACTATGGAAATGAGCCAATGCAACGTTCGATATTTAGAAAGCGAATCAACGGAATTAAAGGCCAAGATAACAGAGCTAGAAAATCTAATTGCCCAACATAAGGAGGTAATAAGTTTTACTACGTAAGGTTTACTACGTAAGGTTTACTACGTAAGGTTTACTACGTGGTAGAGCCATGCTGCAGCTATATTATGGTTGTAGCACGAATGGGTCGGCTCGACTGGGGAAGGACCACGCTCTCACAGAAAACCAGCGTAAAATAGCAGCATAACGCTGCTGTGTTTCGTATGGTGAGTGTAGAGAACCGGAGACCCTTTTTACTGGCAAAGAGGCATTCCATCTTAATCCTCACGGGTGACAACGCATCTGCATCTTGAGTCTTTATTGAGGATAGATGTAGATGTCTATGGGTCACAGTAACCACTTACCATCAGGTGGACTGTGAGCTCGTTTGTCACCCGATCCTATATAAAAAAAAATAACATTTTCACCATGGCTTACTTATCCAAATTATTTTGTGTTAATTTTTTTAAATTCATCCAAATTCTTATAACTATGTTTGCTAATCTGATTCTATTGTATATATATATTGAATTCTTTGATAATCTGCTAATTTTGCCTTGCTACCTATAAATATTGTAAAATGATCTTGCAAATAAAAAAAAACGCGCGTGTGTGATCGAGAGATATTTCAGCAGTTTTATATATTAGCATAGTTTTGAACCATATTATTTAAATTATGGTACACTTTCAATCTACGACTTTGACTTACATTCACATCAGAAGAATAAATGAAAAGTTCCGATTATATATATAATAGATGGCGATAAAAATAACTTTACACCTATGTGTGTTTATTCAATAAGTTAACGTATTTATATAATTTAAACTATTATAGAATCAAGCAACTTGTATGTTGATAAAAGAGAACGAAGAATCTCGAAAAGCGGAAATAGAGCAGCTGAAGAAACGAATAGATAGTTTGTTGCAGAGTGAAAGTTCTCTCAAGAAGACTATTCAAGACTTAGAAACTGAAATCTGTGATAAAAATAAGGTATGCGTTAATGTTACCCTATTTATTAAGGTGTTTACAATAAAGGTTAAATAAATAAATAAACATTAAAAATTTATTTTCAGAAAATAAAGACTTTAGATAATCGAATATCGGATATGAAAAAGACTTTACAACGAGAATTACAAAGCAGTAAGTCTGACCTCACTTCCGCCGAGGAACAAGATATTAGTAGACGGTAAGCAATATCTGGCTGCACAAAGTTTTTTTTTTATTTATAACTAAGAAAGGTTTCCTTTCCCCTAGTCCTAACTATCAGACGGTTTACTTCCCTATGAGTGGCTCCGAACCGTGTTTTGTGGCATTCTTTGGGGGACCCTATGTTCTTCGAGTTGGACTTGTGAAGGGCTGTAATGATGATGTTGATGATTATCATGATTATCGCATTTTATAAAAGTATTAATAATTATTTTATTCGTACAGTTTGGATCATAAATCATCGGAGTATTTCACTCTCTCTCCCACTCACGGGCCTTAGGCGCGAGCATAGTGATGCGCATTATTGTTGTCGATAAGCGTTATCGATAGTGTATTCAGTTTTGTCATTATGTGGGTTAGTGATAAAAATGAAAAAAAAATTAGATAAAACAACGTATTTATTAAAATAAGAAAACTAATTATTTAAAATAAATTATTAATTAGGTATCTATGTATTAAAAAAACTATAAGTACAAATGTTTGGAATGTAACAAGTTATATTAAAAATAAATATAAATATAAAGATAATAACTTATATCTAAAATTATTTACATTAAAATTCTACATCAAAATCATCAGAGTCATCGTCACCCACATGAGTTACATGATTCCCAAAGTGTTTCCATTTATTATGTATGTTGCTCTTTTCACGTATGACTTTTATTAAAACAGAGTTATACCAAATGTTTTATTTTTTATTTTTAAAGATACAAATTGATCAAAACATTCTTCTAAATTACTATCTGTCTATCGATTTATTCCGTAGCGTATTATCCCAATTAGTTTGCATAAAGAAATTATTAATTGCTACATAATCACATTTGTTAAAATCGTGTCGTGATGTGATGACCTCTTTGGAGGGGTCACAAATAGATCAGCGATGTTAATATACAAAGGAGGGTGATGTTTGTCCTCTGTCAAAAGAGGGGAAGAACATCTTAGAACTTCTGTGTTTAGATTGCAAAATACTAAGTCCAGTGTACGTCCGTTACCATTTAAAATATTATTAAATTGATTTTAGCCCAAGAAAGTCAGACCCTCCGTCTATTCTTGGGCTGGACAAGCGATAGTGTCAGTCATTTCTTATATAAGTGTTGTAAATAATTTACTGTGGAAAAAATCCCGCTGGGTTTCTGTCTGGTTCTTCCCAGGAAAGAGGTTTTTTCCGGATCAGTGGTCAAATAAAGAACTTTTCTTTTCTTTGCTTTCAATATGAATTATTTATAATTTTATATGGTATAGAAATTATTATATTTTTTTCTATTCTATTATAGTATATTAAAATATGTGTATAACTACTCAACCGTCCATGGCGACTATAGTCACCAAACGACATCTTTCGGTTTAAACGTGTACAGCGCAAAACATAGCTGTTATTAATACAGTAAAAAATTATAGATGGTGCTATATGAAATTTGTCATCTGTGAAAGTGAATTTTATCTGTATAATAGTAACAAAATATTTAGAAAAAAAAGTTAAAATTAAATTTCGCCATTTTTGTTTGTGGAATGTAGTGTAAGGTGTGAGAAATTCGATCAAAAATGTGTTAACATTTCTGTTTTTAAACGTTATTTCTAATGTTATTGTACATCCAACTAATTGTGAAGATATTTTCTTTAGTAAATATGTATCATTACGACAATTCCAAAACGTTTACATATAATAATTTAGCTCGAAATTTTAATCACTATACGCGATCATCGTTTATTGATTATATGTTGTTTAAAATGTATTCTAATCAGTTTATTGTGTTAAATGAATGCTAAATATAAAAGAATGATTCACTATTAACACGTTGATAACAACTGCAATAAAAATACAACACAAACGCGCTTGACAGACGTGGTGTTACTACCCCAAACATCCTCGTATACAACGATATAAAGAACCTGCCTCCATTCCCGATGGCCCCGCTATTCCTGACGGCGGTGACCATGGTAAGGCGCAGCAGGGAGTGCTAAGAATTTCCGGTGGTGGTTTCGTTGCCATTTAAGACGACTAGACCTGGCAACATTCAACCCACGCACCCTGAGGACTGACGAGGAGATCCTGGAGCTGGAAGAAGAGATAGACAAGTTGCGCTGGGATATTATAGGATTATCTGAGGTTTGAAGGAGGGAGAGGACACTAATCCTCGAATCCCGCGACCATCCATCCCAAGGAGATGTCGGATTTATCATCCACAAGTCTCTCGTTAACAATGTTGTTAAACTTGGGTGTATCGATGAGAGTTGAGTACCTTATACTCAGAATCACCAAACGGTATTCGTTGAAGTTCATACAGGTTTACATACCGACCTCGGCACATACCGATGAAGATTTAAGTATGTTATTTGTTGTGTCGTTTTTAAGTGTTTTTAGTAATTTAGAATTATAATCTGACGAATCAAGCGTAAAAGAACACATAGCTGATGTGAAGGATCGACGCTCTTGGAAGTCTGCAGTCTGTCTGAAATACGTACAGGATCGCCCCCGTCACAACATCAGATTTGATAAACCACAAATTCTCGCTAGTGAACACAAATTCCTTCCAAGGATGATTCGCGAGGCTATTGAAAACAAAAACATCCTAATTTCAACAAAGAAAATGGCTGGCTGGATCTGCTTGGGATTCTATAATAAAATTAAAACTCAACCCAAGTAATGTAAGTTCATACTGCATAGATCGGATAAAAAATTAATAATTTTAATCTGAAGGTAGCCGTGGTTACCTATGACATTGGGACGTCGAACACCTCAGTCTTCCCCTGCTATAAAGTGCTCGAAACGTAAAGAATATAAAAATAAGTTAATATATGCGATAAAATCCTTAAAAACTAGTTAGCGTAAATATAAGAAATCACTGGTAGCGATCACCGAATGATAAGAGGCATATTGAAAGTCACGTTGTAACGTCTATTTAAGTCAATGCTCCGTCCTCCGAGCTTTTTCTACTCTTTCAGCTCGAAACCGTTTTCAGTGCCTAGAAGATTGCAATGCAGTGGACGATATGAATGGAAATGGAAACTGTCCATGCGGTTGGAGCTAAGTTCTGCAAAACCTAAAATATAAAATCTCTTTAAGACGGAAAATGAAGCTGCAGTCTTCAGCAGAATTGACAGCATACAATATCTCTGTTCAGTTGAAACAGAGAGATCTTTAAATGCATGCGGCGGGACTTACGCATCTTCAATACAGCTCGCATTGAAGAAAAGATCGAGCGGAACCAGGGCTCCAAAGTTTGTGCCAGAGATCTGTCTGCCAGTAAGAGCCAACTGTCGAATCTGAAGACTGAATGTAGTAGCATCGTATTCGGGACACCTAAGATTTTGATTAAGATTGCGAGGTTCTATGAACAGCTGTACACGTCATCATAGGAGCCACAAGCAAATGTGATTAAACGGCAAGGCCCCGAGCGGAATGGAATAACAGCGGAGCTTCTGAAAGCGCGTGGAAAACCAGTACTTGAAGTCCTTCAGAAGACTTCCTGTAGCAGCGTGTAGCGTGTAGCACACTCTTTACTACATACCGATTTCCCTTCTGAGCCGCGTCTACGTGCTATTTTCGAGAATCATTACGAATCGTCTCGCACGCAGACCCAGCAACTTCCATCGTTCTAAGCAAGCCGGTTTGCGAAAAGGCTTTAGTTCCATAGACCACATACATAATCTTCGGTAAATTGTACATAAGACCGAAAATTACAATCTAACACTTTGTCTTGCGTATGTGGACTATGAGAAAACCTTTGGTTCCGTCAAAATTTGGGCGATCCTTTAGTCCCTTCAGCGGTGCCAAGTTGACTGTCGGTATATCGAAGTGCTGAAGTGTTTGTACAATAGGGCTGCGATGGCAATCCGAGTACAGAACCAGAGTCCAACTGCAGAGATGTGTAAGAAAGGGTGACTTTACCTAGTCAGGTCATAAATTCTGTCACGTTTAATATAAAATAATTGAAACAAGTTTATTCATTATGTAACCATTTATATACCAAAATGAACTTAACAAAACATAGATTCTTATGACACTAAAGTTTATTCAAAATGACCTCCGTGATTTTGAATACAGGCCTTCAATCTGCGCAGCCAGTCGTCTATCGCAGCACGAACGAGGTCTATGTCAATATCGGCGGCTGCCTTAATCAAAGATGTCTTGAGTGACTCCAAATTGGGATGAGGCTTTGAGCACGCCTTTTCCTCCAAGTGTTGCCATATCTTGTAATCTAACGGATTCAAATCTGGACTGGAAGAGGGCCAGTCTTCGTGCCGGATGAAGTCGATTTTACGCACCACCAGCCAGTCTTGTGTGCTCTTCGCTATATGAGTTGGCGCCGAATCTTGTTGGAATACCCAGTGCCTGTTATTGAACATGGTATGAGAAACAGGTTCCACAAGGTTCGTCAGGACTGTATTTTGATACACAACTGCATTCGTTTTTACACCTTTCTCACAAAAATGTACCTCTGTTAAGCCCCAATAAGAAACTCCCAACCATACCATGAGTGAGGATGGAAAATGACCTCGTTGGACACGCGGAATACGGTTGCTCACTTCTTCACTACTGTGTGCGTACACCTTATCATTTTGTTTCTTGTAGCTCTCTTCTACGGTAAAAATGTTTCATCCGAAAAAAGAATTTCCCGATATTTTTTTCCCGCGTACCGCTTCAACAAAGCGCGGCATCTCTTCAGTCTCAAGTCCATTAGACGAGCATTCAAACGATGTCCTGTTTTTCTACGATATGCCCGAAGCCCTAAGTCTTCATTTAACACCCTTTTCACTGTGGTTCTGCTTAACCCCATCTGAAGGGCCAACAGTTTCTGCTTACGTTTGGGATTTCCGACAAGTCCAACAGACCGAGGGCCACCACTTCTTGACCTGTCATCTACACTAGAGTCTTCATTGTATCGTTTGATGGTACGATAAACGAATCTTTTGGTTATATTCAAATTTTTCAGTATGTCAAAAATTTGAATTGGCGCGTAACCGCAACGATGCAACGCA